GAGGGCAGGGGGGTGCTAGTACAGGAGCAGGGGCTGCTTCCTCCAGCTTTCTGCCAGGGAGAGCTCCCCTGTGCAGGGGAGTCTCTGCTGGTCATTTCTGGTTAGTTTAAGCCCCCTTTGCATGGCAGGAGTGGACCGGTGAATCCGGCCCATACGATGTGCAGTGCAATTGGATCCTGGATAGCAGATGGAGTATTTGGCCACAGGAACTTCAGTGAATGGCTCAGTACCAGGACCCAAGGTGACGGCTCCGTTTCTTTGAGCACTGGGAAATTTTCCCAGTCCCCCATAGGAAAAAAACCTAGCTTTTGTGACGCTTAACACAGGAGGGTCTCACGCCTGTCTATGGTGGGACCCACATCTAACTAGAGACATTGTCTCTTGCAAAACTCCCCTCCCATTCGCTATCAGAAAGAACACCTGTCCTCTCATTTGCTATCATGGGGCCATCTCCACTCCCACCGGCTACCACAAGGATTACCTGCCTTCCTATTGGCCATTGTAGGGCCCACATTCCTTCCCATTCGCTATCATAAAGAACACCTCGCCTCTCATTCGCTATCATGAAGACCTCCTCTCTCATTGGCTATCACAGGGACCACCTACCTTCCTATTCCCCACTGAAGGGCCCACATCCCCACCCATTGGCTTTTGTATATGATCTCTTGGACACCTTCAGCCATTGTGCACATGGCACAGTAGTCTTAGGGGAATGTTTAATGTATTCATTGCTGTCTTTCATGCCATGTGGCACCTCGAACAAGAGGGAGGCATCCCCACCGCAGGACCAGCCAGCTCTCCAGGGCCCACTAGCAAGCACACAGGGCACAGTGGTGAGCCGCAAGCCCCAGATTGGGAACCACTGACATAGCACAAGAGGTATTCAAATGACCTTGGTTCCTGTAGGGTCTGAATAGTAGATCACCCCTAATGCAGTTAAGGCTGCCAACCCTACAGGATTGCCCTGGAGTCTCTAGGAATTAAAGCGCAATCTTTAATTAAAGATTATGTCATATGGTGAAAACTCCAGGAGTAGGTCCAACTGAAATTGGCAACCCTAAATGCAGTGAAGAGTGGTTCTCAGCTTGAGTGTTACTGACACAATTGATCTTGCATGGGAATTGTGGGACACACAGTGAGTGACTGGCGCCAGGCATGGAGAACTGGAAGGCAGTAGCTTTCCACTGTGTATGCTACTAGTTTGAATCAGCACTCATGAAAGCTGCTGAGCCAGATACGTGCCCTGCCCCAGGTGCTCCAGAACTCAGAGGTGCCTGCGTGCAGGGCCAGCTGTGGCTTTTTTGCTGCCCCAGGCAAAAAAGCCTCCCGCCGCACCCTGCCCCCGGTGGGGAGCGCGGCAGGGGAGGGCGCCGAGCCGGGCCACGGCTCTGCTCTCCCCGGCGGCCAGAGCACCAAGGGGAGGGTGGCGAGCCGGCCGGGGCTCCGCTCTCCCCGGCGGCCGGAGCACCGGGGGGGATGGCCGGCGAGCCCGCCGCGGCTCTGCTCTCCCCGCCCGACCGGAGCGCCGGGGGAGGGCGGTGAACCTAGTCGTGGCCCTGCTCTTGGGCCGGAGCGCCGCGCCGCCCCCCTCCAGGTGCTGCCCCAAGCACGTGCTTGGTGGGCTGGTGCCTGGAGCCGGCCCTGCCTGCGTGTGCCTAGCGCTCCCGCCACCGGTATCAATGCTGAGACGGCGATGTGAGCTTTCCAGCAAGACCGCCTGCTCTCCACGCTTGCCATTCTGAGGCCTAGCTGTATGCTGGGTTATTATTGTATGGGTCACAACCTGTGCAGTGTTTGCTTGTTTTACAATAGTAGTTAAAGATCCTCACATTAAAACCCTAACACTCAAGTCCTTGACAGTACTTCCTACAACTGCTCAGTGAAGTAGGGCAGGGTTATGGGTTAGGTGTTACCACCCTGTTCTCTATGCCTTTGCATAGCCTGATCCAGGCCCAACACGGGCATGATGCAGCTATTGTCTGGGGGCTGCACACAAGGCTTACAGTGGGCCAGGCCGGGTCTCCAGCCCCTCTAAAATATTAGACAGCTCGGAGGTGGGGCAGAGGAGGCCAGTTTCCCAGCTGGCTACTGAGCAGCGCCCCCCCCCCCAGGGGCAGATGGGGAGTGTGGGGTCAGGCAGTGCTACAGGTTATGTCTGCACTAGCTGGGGGGGTGTCTCCACACTCGCGGATACATACTCTTGCTAGCTCCATGAACTTCATGCTTTGGTGCCTCAGCACCTTCTGCTTTGTCAATCCATGCCCCTGCACCTCTCCGCCATTGCCCTTCAGGCTTGACCAATGGCCTCCCTGCTAGCCAGTCCTGGGCATGGCATCCGCACAGCTCTGCCAATGCACCTCAGTGACCCTCAGCACCCCCTGCTACCCTAATCCAGGCCGCCACATAGCTCTGCCAATGCACCTCAAGCCCGACTCACAGCAATCCTGGCCACTGCATTAATGATCCATCATACAGCTCTGCCAAAGGGCTCGGTCTGAGCTCGAGCACCCTGGCTCGCGCCCTGAGACTGGGGTCCAGACACCCAGCAGCTCCCATTGCTCTTAAAAATGCTTGGCCCCCAGGAAGAGGTTGAAGCAGATTAAAATAGGAGGCAGGGCTCATTGGTGCTGGTGGCTGCCACCCTCTGTGTGACGGGGGCTGTGTTATCAGCTGATGATGGGCAGGAGCAAGAGCAGATAAGGGGGAGCTCAGTCCCCGCTTCCCCCACACACCCCTCCCAAGTCAGCCAAGCAAAAGTGTAAGTGCCCTGTGCAGGGCTTGGGGGAGGGGCATCCCCAGCAGCTCCACCCCCTCGCCTATAAACGGCACCATTTAGACATGCTGAGGACAGAGAATGCAAGATCAACAAATCAAAATGGAGAATCCGGGGCTTCTTGTCCTGGAAAAAATGTAAACCCTGGAGGCAATTTCCTGCATCTGAGGTGATTTCAAGACTATTTCAAAAGAAAAAAATTCTGCAAAGGAAAGTGAGCAAAGGGACTTGAGCTGACATTTAACTGTGACAGCTGGAGGCTTGCTCTGTACTCCTGCGCTATCAGCAAATGTGCCCCAGAGTCATGCAGGGCAGCGGCCAGAGGATGACACCAGAGCAGGTTCCGCACTGGCCTGTCTGTATGGATGCTGGGAGCCCAGCCTGAGCTGCCATCTCAAATCCCTACACAGCCACATCCCCTGGCAGCTCTGTGGGTAGGGCTGTCAGATTTTGGCACCCGGCTTCCCAGATATGTGTATTTGTTTGGGTTTAAATGGAGGCACAGAAAAGCAGGGTGCTCCTTTATGCTAGATCATGCTACACCATTAGTTCAAATTACACTACACAGCCCAACCAGCAATATATTGCCCTCCTCTCCACACCCAAACATAGTACAACCACAGGAAGAAAACACTGATTACGAAACAGATCAAAATCCTCCCAGCCTCCACCCAATCCAGCCACCTCGGCCCTCCTCAGATGCCTGCTCAAAGAGCCAGACAGCACCGGGGGCCCTGAGAGGCCACACATTTGGGACATTTCAGACCAGGTTTGGGCGTGAGCAGCAAGTTGAATGTTTCTTACAGAAACCGCCCTCCCTTGGCAACCAAGGGCCAATGGCTCAAGCAGCTCTACTGATCCCAACTGCAGCATTATGGCATGGGGAGCGGAGCGGTCTCTCAGGTCCCAGTCATTTAGGGCTTTACAGATCAAGACCAACACCTAAATTCAAGAAGGTGTATGACCGGAGAGTAGCCCAGGGCCCATTGGCCACCGCACTCCAGGGATCAGAGAGCAGCTGGGAAGCAGCAATGGAACAGTCAGATCGGGCCTGGATACTGTAGGTCATGGCCGGCGGAGATGTTATCTTAGTTTGCTACGGCCTGGGCCATAGCTCATTGAGTCCAGAGTCACGGCAGCTCGGCAACAGAGTGTTGTATACTCTAGGAAGTGCCAAGCTGCCATTGGAGCAGGCACTAATCTATGTTAATCAACAAGCCAGTAAGTAATTAATGCAGGCACTAGGCTGAGACCGCTGAACTCATCTCCTAGGTGAGCCTGTATTTTCTGGCTGCAGACACAGGCAAAACACTGAATGAACCAGCTGGAGAGGAATTTAATCAAGACGGAAAAGCCAGTGGGGCGCCTGCTGGCAAGGTGAGAAAGCAGGGCTGATTAACTGACATGCCAGGGACTCAGAGCTGGTTCTGGAAGGGATGGTGGGGGATTCCCATCTGGGCGGGGCACAGTTGGGATAAAAATGGCACCAAGTGCATGGAGCAGGAAGTGCATGGAGGCTAGTAGCGGTATGTGACCACACAGGCTCCTCAGCTCAGTGTAATACACCCCACCAGCCAGCCCGCAATTGACACACTGACAGGCAAAACCAGATAGGAGTTTCAGTGCGTTGCCGGGAAGGCTTTGCTGCAGAGCTGCAGGGCCAGCCTGTCAGTCAAAGCGCTCCTAGGCCACCGTGTGCCTGGGAGAGGATGCTCCGAAACGTCTGCCAGAGAAAACCTTTGCCAGTACGAACGGCAGAACATGGGCAGGGTAGAAATGCTCTGAGTGAAGCTCAAACCTCCACTAGCAGCTCTGGGCAGAGCAATGCGGCCCCAGCCCTGCAGGACACATGGCCAGAAAAGGAGGAGGGCATCTGTCCTGCTGAGCTACTACAATAATGGCTCTGGCTGTGATGGCAGCACATTGGCGCGGGATAGGAAGGGTTAAAATGAGCCCTGGATTAACCCTGTGCAGCTCCGGACTTTCTGACCCTCTCCGATGTTTCCAGGTCATCTAAGTTCTTTGTCCAAAGCTGGGATCGGCAACCTTTGGCACGCGGCCCGCCAGGGTAAGTCCCCTGGCGGGCCGGGCCGGTTTGTTTACCTGCCGCATCCTCAGGTTCGGCCAATCGCTGCAGGAAGCGGCAAGGGGCGAGGGATGTGCTGGCCGTGGCTTCCCGCAGCCCCCATTGGCCTGGAGCGGCGAACCGCGGCCAGTGGGAGCTGCGATCGGCCGAACCTGCAGCCGCGGCAGGTAAACAAACTGGCTCAGCTCACCAGGGGGTTTACCCTGGCGAGCCGCGTGCCAAACGTTGCCAATCCCTGGTCCAAAGGGTGAGTCAATGAAAAGAATCAACACGGGTTCCTAGCCATAGGGCAGCCAGCTACCAGGCAGAAGAATCCCAAGGTAGACTGGCACAAGTGGGTGCTACATCTGGGCCAAATTCTCCTCTCAGTTACCCCACTGATTCCCATAGGGCTGTGCCAGTGTAGCCGAGGGCAGCAGCTGAGCCACTGTACCGAGGTTGTCAGTAGGAGTTTCTTGCTGTGCCTTTCCCATCCCTCTCTCTCCCCAGGCGCTTTCTATTTGTTTTTCACTCTGCTCTTCGCCCTGTTTTTCTCTCCTTCCTCTCTGTTCCGTTACCTTTTCTCCTCCCTGGATCACAGACCCAGTAACACTGGGGTTGAGACAGAACCCACAGTGCTCCACTGAGTTTGAAACCAGTTTGCACCACCCCAGTTTGAACACAGCGGGGCCATACTCAGGACGTAAGCTGTTGAGAACATGGGTGGTGTGGCATAGTAGACAGAGCAGCGCACTGGGAGTCCGGACACCTGTTTTCTATTCCTAGCTCTATTGCTAGGTCTCCTGGCAGTTCCTGCCTCAGTTTCCCCACCCCTAAAATGGGGCTAATGGTTCTGACCTCCTTTGTAAATCACTGAGAGCTGCTGAGGAAAAGCTCTGTATAAAAGCTAGGTATTATTATATTATCATTCAAACCCATATGGACATCCCTCCTGGACTTGAACTCTGACCTTTCTCAGAGCATTACCCAAAACCAGGACTACAGGTTTGGCATGGTGGGAACAATGTCCCAGATATCAAGATCTTCCTGAGTCCGTGACTTACCTTTGTGTCTGTGGCTTTAATAAACTCACCCCATAGCAGCAGCTCCTGCCCTGTGGGGCTGGGCCTGGCTCTCTGCTAGGAGGCTTGTGACCAGGCTCATGGGTTGCAGCACCACTCAGGTTTGGCCCGGCTGCCTCTCCATTATCATGATGGAGGCGTGGCCAGGTCAAACCCGAACAACGCTGAGACCATCAAGTCTCAATGCCCAGTGTGGGGAGCAGGGCCCAGCCCCATGGGACAGGAGCCACCACTGACTGAGGGATAAAGGTGGGGTGGGCTCACTCTCCATCCTAGGGTGACCAGATGTCCCATTTTTATAGGGAAAGTCCCATTTTGGGGGACTTTTTCTTATATAGGCACCTATTACCCCCTGTCCCGTTTTTTCACACTTACTTTCTGGTCACCCTACTCTATCCCCAACTTCACCCGGGACCCCTCCTCCTCATTTGTCATGGCAATTTTTATCAAAAATCACAAACCAGTGACTTTTATAACTTTACTATGCCTGATTTGTGATTTCTGATAAAAGATGCCGTGACAAATCTGCAGCCCTACCCATAACCACAAAGCCTGTGACAATAAAACAGAGTGCAGATATTTATAAAATCTAGGCTTTCCTAGAACGTGTCCTTTGGAGGCAGCCCATAGAGCAAAAGAGCTGGGAAATGGTATGAAGCTAGAGGCGTGCTCGACACCCAGCCACAGCATCACAGCATTCCAGGTGGGTGGGGAGGGGCCCGATGGTCACTGAATGCAAACTTTCCAAGGCCTTTTTTGATCCAGTTCAGTTAAGAAAAACAAACAAACCCACTTCAGTTGCACCTGATCTGCTGCTGTAAAAGCCCCGTCCATACTGAGATCAGATGGAATTTGTTTTTAATGTCATGAAGGCAACTCCCACTTAAATGGCATCAAGAAAACAAGCCAACGTCCAAGCTTGCACCGGCCCGCTTGGAAATGTCCTTCCGTCTTTGTGCTGCTGTGGGAAGCATGAGCAATGAAGGGAGGTTGAAGCTGTCAGGAGCCACAGACTCTGCCTGGAGGCCTGCTGGGAAAGGAACAGAGAGAGCAAATGGATGTGACACAGGAATCAAACCACCGCCCGCACACGCGGCTCTAGAGCTGTCCTCATGCGCTTTCCCTGGCTCAGTGACTGTTCATCATTCACAGTGGCAATTCGCAGTTCTTCATAAGGACAGCGACTACTCATTGGGCCAGGGAATGCGAGCGAGAATGACGGGACAGCCTGGTGTCTAGGGATCGATGTGACATGGGAGTGGCTCAGGCTAGCTACCCGAGTCCAAGCCCACCTGACCCCCTGGATCTGAGCTCAGGTGGCTAGCCCGAGGGCCCCAATCCTGATCAGAGCTTCTGGGCTCTTCCTAAACACAAATAATCAAAGTTTGAAGATACGGTGTTTGGACAGGGCTAGTCTCCTTGGCGTATCAATCTCTTGACAGCATCAGTAGGAATTATGCATATACATACCCTGGGGTAGAGCAGTGTTACAGAGCATTGCCTTTATTCTGTCCTTAAGAAACTCCGATTGTTTGTAAAATAAGGTCTCTAACACCTTGCAGTTGTGCACTCTGTTGTTGCCAATGCTTGGTAACTCCTGTAGATTTTGGTGGCTTATATGTAACCTGCTAATGAGAGCAAGATGGGAGGGACAGGGCTAGAGTGCTTTTTGGGCTGGACAGAAAGATTTACTGGATAGAAAGTCTGGCTGATTTCTCAAGCTTTCAGCATGTAGGTGAAAAAGACAGAGGGCCAGATACATCTGTGCTGTAATGCCAGCTAACTCAGTTATACCACGCACGAGATGAATTTAGATCCTTCCTTTCATAGGTGCTGGAGCTAGCACCTCCTGGCTTGAAGTGGTTTCTATTATATCCAGGGTTTACAGTTTGGTTCAATGGGTCTCAGTGCCCCCAATATACAAATTGTTCCAGCACCCCAGCTTTCTTTACACGCAAATAAGTCGAGTGGCATCTAAGCAGGGGGAGGTGGGAGTGTACTGAAGAGGAATGGTCAGGCCAGCACAGGCCTTCCCTTGTTTAGCTGGTCGAGGATTTTTCCATCAGAAACTGCCAAGTCGTCAACACCACAACTTTTTGTGAGACGGTTTTGATGAAGTTTTTTAATTTGAAAATTTGGGGGGGGGGAAATTTGGAAATTGTTGAAATGTTTCATTTCAAATCTGTAAAACTCTGGTTGGTGTTTAGAAATGCAAGCTAATGTAAGTTAAAAAAATATTTTCATTCTGAAATTTTAAGCTAATTATAGTTTTAAAAAGTTTTTAAAAAAACAGAAATGTTTTGATCGATCCAAAAGTGGCTTCCCCCCCCACACTTTTGGTTTGCAAAAAATCTAGAGATTTTGCTTTTTGGTTCCCGATTCAGGACAGGAATATTTGTTGATCTCTCAAAATATTTCAACAGGCAGCAAACCCATTTCCTGCCCTATGGTGCTCCCCAGAGAACGACGGAAAGGGCGGGACCATGAGGAAATCTTGCTTGCCTCATGGTTGGCTTCTCTGAGAGCAGGGAGGTCTATGTTACCCATGATCTTGTCCTGTGCAGAGGAGGCCTGGGAGAGAGTCTACATAATGGAACAGGTGAAACCGCAGCATTCCTTGAGCAAGGTGAGGCCTGTTTTGGTCACGTACGGTGTGGAGGTTTGCTGCCCTCTGGACATCATCTTCTTCTCTTTGACAGGGGCTGTTAAAAAGATCTTGTTATTGTAATGGTCAACAACAAAAGAGCAGAAGGAAGGCTAGTGTCAGTGTCACCTCTTAGGCTTCCCTCACTGGATGGGACCTGGGTCCCAAGAGGTCAGGGCTGGGATGTACCTCCCAAAAGATCAGGGCTGAGACATATGTCCCTAGGCGTCATGAGACATGTCCCATGTGATCTCAGATGCGACTGAATGGGCCCAGACTGGACTTGCCTCCCAAACAGTTGTGGATGGAACATGTCTTTATTATTGCCAGGGATGTGCACATCTCACTTGGTCAATGATCTGCCTCCTTTGTGGATAAGGAAGGGCCCCAGAAGGAGGAGATATCCTCTGAATGACCACGGATGGAACGTGGGAGATGGGCTATGATAAGTGTTTTGAGTAGGGTGACCATGTTTAGATAACAAGGTGATGGGGGTCACATAAGTAGCGGGTAGAATAGCAGACATGGTAAATACCTGAACCACAGAGGGGGCAGCCACCCCAACCAGCCCCCAAAGCATCTTTGTGGAAAAACCAGGCAAGAAGCAGAACCGTGACATGTAGATCAACCTGTCATCTTCCTGGGATATGACACTTAGGCATCAGAGACAGGCAATAGCCCTTCTGTTGAGTTGCCACTCCCCTCCCCCTCTTTCTTCTTGTGGCATATGGTCCCAGTGTGAAAATCGCTGGTCTGTTTATAGAAATTAATTCTTGGGACTAGCCAGTTTTGTAAACAGGAGAAAGTGCCAAAGAGATGTCTGTGCGATAAATAATACAAATCAGGCACCTACTTGCTTTCTGGAGGCAGCTTTTGGAGAGCTTTGTTTGCAGGAATTCAGCCATTTCCTTGTCTTCTTCTTTTTCTCTATGACAGGTGGAAATAGGTTCTTGCTTAGTAAATGGGCCAGTGAACCACTCAGGGTACATAGCAAAATAACCCCGCGGCAGCCAGTCTCAGACCCCCGGTCAACTGACATGGGCTTGAGGGGTTTGTGCTACTGGGCTGGAAGCAGCAGTGTCACCGTTCCCTCTCGGGCTGGAGCCTGGCTCTGAGCCCCTCCCCCAGCTGGGTTTCAGAGCCTGGGCCCCAGCCTGCGCAGGAACGTCTACACTGCTGTTTTTTAGTGCAAGCCCAAGTCAATTGACCCGGGCTCTGAGATTCACTGCCGTGGGTGTGTTTTTTGCCATGTAGACGTACCCACAGATGCTCGTTTTGAGTAGGGTGACCATATTTCCCAAAGGGAAAATGGGACACCACGTGGGGCTAGCCTGCCCCCACCCCTCCCCCTGTGCGGGACTGGCCCGAGCCGCTTTCCCAAGCCCCCCCCTCCCCACACGGGGCTGGCTCAAGCTGCTAGCCCGAGCGCTGCCTGCCCCCCTGCACGAAGCTGGGGTCGCTGCTTGCCCAAGCCCTGCCTGCCTCCTGCCTGAGCCCTGATTTCCCCCCGCCCCACACGTGGGGCTGGAATCACCGCTCACCCCCCCACACACCTTCCTCCACATCCCACTTTTTTGACAAAAGTGGGCATTTGTCCCATTTGCACTTGCCAACTGATCAAGTTGACAAGAGCAAACAGGACAAATGCCCACTTTTGCCAAAGAAGTCGGGACGGGACTGTCCCAGCCAAAACGGGATGTACAGTCACCCCAGTTTTGAGACAGAGAGGCATTGTCTGGTTGGAGCACAGGACTGGGAGCCAGGAGATCTTGAGTTTTGATCCCATCTCACCATCTGATTTCCTTTGCAATCACAGGCAAGTTTCTTTACTTCTCTGTGGAGCAAGTGTATGAGAGCAGGGGACGGATTTCAACTACTATCTGTGACATTCAGTGGGGATTGGCACCTAAATCCGCTAGGCACCTTTGAAAATCCCTTTTTTTTTGTGTGACAGCTGCCTTCTTGGCCAATGCACTGGGGATCGAACCAGGGATTTCCAGAGCAGTGGCGTAGCCAGCTTCTAAGTGTAGGGGGAGCAAACATAAAAAAGGCGCCCCCTTGGCTCCTCCTCTGGCCATGCCCCCCTTGGCTCCTCCCGTTTCCCCCCCAGATTAACCCCGGGGCCCGGCTCAGGACTCCTGCGGGCTTCCCGGGGGTGGGGATACCTCCATCCCCCCGCGGTCCCGGGAGAGTCTCTCCTGCCCAGCCCGCTCTGCAGGTGTCCCCCGCCGGGCTGCGCTGCCTGGTCCCACCCGCGGGATCCCGTCCCCCCCGCCCGGGGCTCCAGGCTCCTGCGCCGCGCCAGGGCCCCCCGTCCAGACAGCGCGCCCTGCGCCCCTGCCCTGCGGGCCTGGCCCCGGGGAGCCCCTCGCCCAGACCCCCCAGGGCAAGGCACC